GTTTAGTTTGCTCAGTCTGGACTAATGTTAAAAACATGGCGGCCTCCGCAGAGAGGACCCCCTCGATGTAAATATAAGGTATTTAAATATAAAGGGCCTTTTCTGGGGTAAAGAAAACTACAATTCATACAATTTAGATGAAACAAACTAGTGAAAACATCATGAGGATTATTCTACATTAAATTTCTGCCAATAGATCCCTTTCACCTAAATCTTACACACTGGACCTTTAAAGAAATAGCAAATTTAATCAAATTTTATTTGAGTTGAAGCAAAACACAAACGTATTACACAAACACATTTTCGCAAGGCACTTTACCATCATGTCCATTCTGATATAGAGTACATCACATCAAAGAAATTATGAGCTTATTGACACCTGACAGAGTCAAAGGCATCAAAGCAACTTATTTACTATGAACCGAACAAAGATGGAGACACAAACGCTATAAGAAATCTAACAAAAAAATGCTTACAGCAGCCAGCGCGAGAAGACTGCGGTCAGCAGGCCCACCCATTTCTACTGTAGCTGAGTCCACAACTGCCAAGAGGCAACAGGCTGCAAAGGTCAGCTGCAATAAGCTACAAAAGTCAGCTGCAGCTAACAGAACCAACCACCCTCCCTCTGCTAAAACCACACAGCCACTGTCAAGAATTTCCAGCGCTAAACCTCAGAAGAGTAAACAAACCAAGGACTTAAACCATGAGGAGACTAGTACCATTGAACTGGTGAACTCCAAGAAGATTAAACACCAGTTTAATCGAACAAAAAAATCGAACAAAAAAAAGCCCACAGCAGCCGTCATGAGAAAACAAATTCTGCAGTCAGCAGGCCCTCCCATTTCTACAGTAGCTGAGTCCACAACTGCTAAGAGGCAACAAGCTGCAAAGGTCAGCCACAACAAGCTGCAAAAGTTAGCTGCAGCTAAAAGAACTAAGCCCCCTCCCTCCGCTAAAACCACACAGCCACTGTCAATAATTTATGGGGCTAAACTTAAGAAGAGAAAACAAACCAAGGACTTAAACCATGAGGAGACTAGTACCATTGAACTGGCTAACCCCGAGAAGATTGAACACCATGAATCCCCTAACAAAGAAAAGGCCATAGCAGCCGACATGAGAAGACTCATTCTGGGGCCAGAAGGCCCACCCTTTTCCGAAGCAGTGAAAAACACCTTAGCTTTAATAAATATGTATAAGACAACTCAAGGGATTGATGAATAAAATAAATAAGAATAAAAAATGATCTGATATTTTCATTGAGAGCCTCCTTTGATGGGTTTTCATTAAACCATGTGACCAAATCAACTGTTGTTACTCTTCGATTTATAAATGATTCTATGTGCATGCAATTTATTACTACAGTGACTGTTGGTGAGAACTTGTACAACATACATATGTGCATACAATCATTCATCATAATGGTAAACTACAAAAAGCAAGCACCAAAATTGGACATAAAGTCAAATTATGGATTTAGAAAAGACGTTGAGATTGCCAGTGTGGAACACAGACTAACTTTCACAAAGGTATAGCCCATATTCGCAAATCACAATGTGTCTCATAGGGCTTTAACAAGCTGTCATCCTCTGCCCTTAACCCTCAACAAGAGTGAGGAAAAACTACCAAAAAAATCTTTTAATAGTGGGGAAAGAAGGTAGAAACCTCAGAGAGAGCCACATGTGAGGAATCCCTCTCCCAGGACGGACAGAAGTGCAATAGATGCCACGTGTAATGGAGAACGTCCCAAAATTTTTTAGTAGTGTGGATGTAGCCTGAATCTTAAATGTTTACCTGAGTATGTTACTTATTTCAGTATGGTCCAATTGAAATATATACACTGCCATTTAATTAATTTGGTACCTTAATTACATTTTAACTAATTCTAATCTGCCATGCATTTTGTTTGTTA